GCTTCTACACTATAGCTGGATAGCTTCTATTGAACCGAGGAGCAACCAATAAGCTAAGGGTAGCTACCACATTAAACAGTATAGACACATGGATCAGTATTACTTTGTGACAACTTTTTAAAGAGGAAAGTTATCACATTTGATTCATATTCTATCATGTCAACCACAATCTAAAAGTTTGGAATTTGTTGTGTTAAACAAACTAGAACCTTGTGAGAAAGTTCAGTTTTTTCAGCAAACAGTATCTATGAATTGGAGGATGTGAATCATATCATAAGTTCATAACAAGCTCTAAATATGTATTGATCCTTATAACGTATGTAAAGCTGGTAATGGTGTGAAATCCGATCTGAACCCACCCCCAACCATTAGTGATGATCTCAACCTTAAAAACCAACCCAGCCCACCAATTGGATTGTTCCAACCACACCAACCCAGTCCACTATGCTATTTGAACCTAGACCTGTGTGCAGGCTGAGCTTGCTGCCTGCGCCTGCAGCAGCCAGCAAGCAAACTCATCGCTGCATCTTTAGACTACGCCTGCAGTTCTTGCCGTCCATGGTGCACTGTAAAAGTAGTAGGATCAATCGCTTATTTCAGTAGCAGTTTTTACTCGTAACCTGCATCTCAAACGATCGCTGAGCAATTCAAGAATAGAAGATAAAGGAATTGACTTCAGAAAGCAATTGAAAAAAAATAGAGTGAAAGTAGTACAAATATCAATAACTCATGAGCAGATGTCGACTATTCACTCAGTTTTCAGAAAGTCATTTTAATAACAATGAATAACATAGAGCAAGCACTTATGGTAGTTTTCAAAGGATTTAGCTCCTGACAGATAGGCTCCAGATTGGACATATCCTAAACCTGACACAGACTACCCACTCTCCCAAAATCACAGCATTGTTGTAAGCCTGTTAAAATACAAAGCTACTGCAGCATAGATAGCTGAAATTTCATAAGGCAATTTTAGAGTTGTGCTGCAGCGTATCAAAGAAGGACATACTTATGATTAAATCTAAAATTTCCTAAGGGCATACTCTTGTGACTTAAGGACGGCAATGCTGCCGGCAGCAAGGGACAGTTTCAGATTAAAGCAGATCTGAGCAACTAATTGCGACAGGAAGTTGTAAGAGGCTGACATATATATATATATATATATATATATATATATATATATATATATAATCAAAACACTAGCATAGATCAACAAAGCTGCAGTACAAAGGCCAGACCAAAGCACTAATCAAAACAAGAATGCCATGAACTAGTCAAAATGACATCTTTTCACCTGAATAAACAGAGGAAACTGAAACTGAGTGCGAACTGAGTGTTTCTGAATCTGATGATGAGCTATTTAACTGATGAAAAAATATGCAGCAGTACTGATAAGACAGTGGTCTATACTAGATTGTAGCGCTGGTATTTTGTACCGGTTCTTAGGATTTTCAGAATCATACCTTATAACTAATCATTGCATTACTCAAACAATTGCAAATAAGACTCTTGACTAATTATAATTAACCTCGCCTCACAAACACACATTTCAAGGAAGACTGCAATATGTCCAATTACTACATGTACAGAGCAAGATAAACTAATGAAAAACTTCATATAAAATCAACTACCCAGATCCCAACAAATTCTGAAAAAAGGTTTGACTTTTGGACCCTCCACTAGCATACCATGTTATATAGCACCGGCAATATTTCACAAAATTCATTCTGCAATGCATTCAATCTTCAGCGTAATTCCTGCAAATAGACATTTGCAAAACACAAAGCACATCTAACAGAGACTGCACATCTTTTGGAGCTAAACTACATACTAAAGAGGGCGTATTTGACGGCAGATCGAATATCTCACCTTGGAGTTGGATTCGTTCCAAGATCACAGCCGCCAAGATCTCCGGTGCTGGTCACGGCCGCCACAACAGCACACTCAAACCGACGGGAAAGGATCAAGAACACGCAGCTAGAATCGTTGCTTGTTCAAGAACATGGGAGGAATTGTCCATACCTGGGTCGATCGCCGATGGTGGAGAATCCAAGCCTGTGGAAGGAGGAGCCGACACCCCAGATCGGATGGGGATGCGGCGGCGGCACCGCTTTTTGCTGGCCGGCGGTGGGCTAGGGCGACGGCGGGCTTAGGGATGGCGGGCTTGGGAGGCGGCGGGCTTGGGGGCGGCGGGTTTGGGAGGCGTTGGGCTAGGGCGATGGGGGGCTAGGGACTGGGGTGGCGTCGTCGTTGGATTCGGCGACGGGGGCCTGGGGAGGGGGGCTGCGGGGCTCCAGCCAGGGAGTTTGGCTGCGGCGGGATTGGGAGACGACGGCAGTGGCTACTGACGGCGCCTAGCCCGCGGAGGAGATCTGCTGGTGGCCGACGGCGTCGGTCTCTGCTGGCTGCCAGTTTTTTTCCCCCGAGTCGCATGAGTAGGAGAGACGAATGGGGATGGGTTCTGAGGCTTTAGTGGGCTCAACATTTAGCATTTTAGCTCCTGCGCACACCTCTCTTTTGGCGCGCGGTGTCCCGCCCAACACTATCATCTTATTTGCTTCGGCGCATAGCCTTCGGCGACACTTTGACAGTGGTTTGCTTAGGCTACGATGACAGTTTGTTTGTCTTAAAAACTTTCGCCGACACTTTTTAGGTTGGAAGGACAAACGCCGACACATAACGTGTAGCCTTACACTATTATTGGCGACAGTTAAGGTGACCTAAAAAATGTATATCATTGCCGACACTTTATGTGTTGTCAAAAGGCTAGTTTTACCAACATATAACTGTAGGGAAAAGTAGGTTATGGTGTAGTGGGTAGCATTTGCACCTATTCCTCCCCTATGCTGGCACCTACGCCCTAGCGCTGACTAAACCAAGCGTCGTTCACGTCGAACCCTTGATTTGGATGGAGGAGAGCTCGATCTAGCGGTGTGTGCTTGGATTTCATAGACGAACGAAGGTGGAGGAAGATTGGAGGTGTGAATCAGAGTTTAGGCACCTGCAGTGGTACAAAAGGACAAGTGTGTCTCTTTATATCCAACCTATCCTAATTGATAGTAATATAGATTTTGATGAAAAATACTCTTCAACAGCTTGTTTAATTAGACCTCCAAATACCTCGATTCTAGATTTTTCGCTAGCTAAAAATAGAGAGCAAGGATAACACTCTCTAGAGTGTTCACAAGGTATAGAGGGTGGAAAAAGATAGAGAAACAGTTTTTATTCAAATGACTCTCTAAATAATGATTTAGAGCGTGAGTTTAAGAATAATATGATTCTTGGAGATGCTCTAAGGGGAGAAGTGTTGGTTTGTTGGGCTTAGGTTAGTTTTTCTTTAGGGCCCACTTATACCCGAATGGACATTATTATGCGGGGTGGATGGATATGCCTATTGTCGCCATCTCCTTGGCCCCATTTTATTGTCGACTTCGACAAAATATACAGTATCAGTCCGTCCCAAATTATAAGACGTTTTAGCTTTTATAGATACGTAGTTTTTGCTATACACATCGATATACACTATGTCTAGATACATATTAAAATCAATGTATCTAGAAAAGTCAAAATGCCTTATAATTTGAAACGGAGAGAGTACTAATTAAGCATGTGGAGTGGCGCCGTTTTATCAAAATCATAGAATAAATTCATGATGCACCATGTCATTCTAAATGAGATGATTCCATGAACCAAATTTCTCATGACTAGACACGCCAAAAACAACGTAACCCATGCAGATTAAGGAAACTCGTAGCGTCGGCGCCCAGTCCGATGGCCGGCGTGATATGACGCGCCATCCCTTGGGTGTTTGAGTACATCCGAACACGCATAGCAGTGATCAAGGTCTATACCGTCGCCTTCCCTTTGCAACCCCATACGGCCACCTATCGTCATCAGATAACAATAAACAAAATGTTAGTACGGTTAAATTTTCGGGAATATTTTAGTAGCCAACTCACTATTATTTCAAAATTCAGGCTAGGACTGATGAATATATAGAGGAGATGGAAGGAGATTAGGGAACACTAACCAACTTGGTCGTCCTTTTCTTTCAAGGAGCGAAAGCATGTCAAAGTCGTGACAGCCTTGTCCCTGTAGGTTCAGCTCTGCAAAGAAGAAGAGCTCCTGCTGGGAACCTTCTTCCTTTGCCCTCGCGGTGGGGAGAATTACGTATTTGACACTGAAACAAATCAGTCTTTTGTATTTGACACTAAAAAATTTGAACTTTCTTATTTGACACTAAGTTGAAATTTCATTCCCTAGATAGCACTGCCGTCTATTTGGGCCAGTAACGGTGTCAAATGGCTGGTAAAATGACATGAATGTCCTTCTTTGTAGCAGAAATACATGATGCCAAATAGAGAAATAATAGATGGACATGTTGTCAAATACGAAAATTATAAATATCACAAATATATTGTGAACTAAAACATGAGATTTTGATAATCGAAGTATGCAAATAAATAAATAATAAATTTCAAATTCTAAGGCAAGAGCAGGTCCGCTGGGGTAGGCTTAGCACGGGAGGGATTTGCCCTGTCTAGTTAGCTTGGTCAGAAATTGTTTGACGCAGTTTAGCAGCTCGGTCATCTCAGTTTAGTCAGTCCTATATTCTTGTCAGATCATCGCAAGAGATGAAGATAACAATAAACAGATATTTCTCCACAAATGCTTAGAATAGTACAGGTTTGAGCATCTGGTGTCACAGCTAGCCAATCATCTAAAGTTCTCCACAATTGAACATCAGAAGTATAAAAGTACAACAGTACTAGCAGCCACTTCCGGTATATTATTGGGTTCTTCGGCTTGTGCTATATAATGTCCATAAACATGGGGTCCTGGTACCTGCACAACAATTGACGGTTTCTTTAGTTAATCAGCTAGGTGATCAGCAGACAAAAGAAGGTTGAAAATTGTCCCCGAAATCCATGACATCTAGGTCCTCATATTGTGATCTCACCTGAGGTACCACCGCTGTTCGCCCATCTAGGTGAAGGAAGTGATTACTTGCCTCCCTGAGGTGACCGTTTTGCATCTGGTTCGCAGCGTTCAGTGGATTCATTGGATTCATAGCTGGAGATGAGTTTAGAGGGATATGATTTGGCAGGGGGTGGCTCATGTATGGTAATCTTGGCATCTGACTTAGGCCTTGTGCAGGTATGCAACCTGAATTCATGCCTAGAGCCATTGGTGGCATGAATTGGTGAGCACCAGGAAACATCATTGGCGCCATCCCAGAAGTCATCCACATGATCCCAAAAAACATGTTTATTTCTTAGTTTCATTCGGTACCAGCAAATGATCTTGTAGGGATCATGTAAGTTTAGGTTGGAGTAGCTGCTAACCTGAACTTGCATTTGGAGGGACTTGAGATACTCAATCGTCTCGTCTAGTATTGACGCTTTGTCAGTCTGACAATTAGAGTTGATAAATAAAGACAAAATGAGATGGCTGAAAAGCAAACTAAACATGCTGACAATGATCAAGGACATATGTTACCACTCACCAACAGAGTTTCATATTACAAGGGACTTGCACACCTGACAAGAAAAGATGCATAATACTATATTAATATACCTTGTTGCAGTGCGGGATCAGCTTTCGTTGAATCTAGACGGAGGTAGCTTCGGGCACCTCGCGTGTCCGCGCTGCAGGCTCCCAGGCGGTCGAGTGAGCGCCAGCGCCAGCGAGCTCGTGGAGGCAACGACGTTCTCCCATCGTCGGAGATTGGGAAGGCCACCTTGCTCTCGACGTTAAGGAGCGCCAGCGGCACCTCATCCACGACGCGCTGTTGTGGCCTTGAGCTGAAAACTGAGTAGGCAGCACAGATCCGGTCGGCAGCAGGCAAGGTGGCTGGCCCGGTGGCAGGCAGGACACCACGCCCCCTTGCGAGCTTCGAGTGGGATGAGGAGCGAGCAGGTCGACAAGGTGCGCCCTTTCCTCCTCCCTAACTCGATCCCTTCCTACCTCCGTCCAGATTCAACGGATGCGTGCCCTCGTAGCTGCGAGGTAGGGCCCGAGAGCGTGCCTTGGCCGGAGCGTCAGCCCCGCCGCCGCGACCGCGCCACGGCCTGGCTCCGCCGGGTGAGGTCGCCCCGCCAGAGGGCACGCGCAGCTGGTGCTGGGCGCCGCCGGCCGCAACATCCTCTGCTCCATCATCCTCTCCTCCTCCTTCCATCGATCTAGGGATTGTTTTTTTTCGGGGAAGAAGGTCACGGACTCACGGGAGAGATGAGCGCTCGGCCGCTCGGGAAGTCCAGGGAGAAATGGAATGCGTGAGTAACAGAGGGTATATTGGTCACACTAATAAAAAACTGACACGATCAAAATAGTCAACTAACAGATGAATGGATGAAATAGACGGTAGTGCCATATAGAGAAGGAAATTTTAATTTGATGCCAGATAAGAAAGTTTAAATTTTTAAGTACCAAATATAAAAGACTGATTTGTTTCAGTGCCAAATACATAATTCTCTCTACTCGAAATCATCACAGAATGGCTCGACATCCTGATTGGACTGGAATGATGCATCATCCATAGCACGACTTGTATAGCTGGCTATAGCCATAGGGCTGCTGTTGTAGCGTGCCTCCTCTTGATTTACAGGTGGCGGTGGCAGCAGTCCATAATCGTCTAAAGAGGAGGTTCTATATATATATAATAACAACCAAAAGAAGAAGATTAAATTTCCGTAGGCAATTAACTCAACACCCCCCCCCCCCCCCCCCCCCAACCACACTGAGACATCAATTTGATTAAACATGAGTCACTTAATTACTGACCTTATCATCATCGGAGAATAGCCGTTGGGTAGAGTACATGATGTTGGAGAGTCAGGCTGCTCGTCCACAGGTGTAGTGCTAGTAATGCTGTCTTGATCTCGCCTGCAGCTTCAGAAACGTACGGCACCCAGATATTAGCTCGTTAACTATACGTATACGCTTGGAGTTGGATCACTTATTTAAGAATATAATGACGAGATTTTTTCACTCACATGGACACACGGAGAGGAGATGGAGCATGTGGTGGCGATATAAATGTCCATGCAGCCTGAGCCCGGTGACCCGGCATGAAGCCTGCAAAATTGACCCGGCCCAAGCACGGCCCGACCCGGTGGTGTGCGGGCCCGGGCTGGCCTGGCCCGGTAGAGCAGGCCATGCCTGGGCCTTACCCTAGGCACGGCGTGCTAGCCTGGCACGGCCCGGCCTTTAGGCTATGGCCCGGGAGCGGCCCGACCTCCCCACCTCTCAACGGCCCACTGACCCAGCAGGCTCCCCGCCTCCGGCCTTTCCCCCCTCGTATATAATCGAGCGGATGCGACGCCCTCCCCTTCAACCGCCGCGCCGCTCTCTCGTCTCGTCTCGTCTCTCCGACTCCTCTGCTGGCGACTAGCGTCCGTCCTCCCCAATTCCAGTGACCTCGATTCGCCCGCCGCCGGTGAGCCGCTCCCTTCTCCTCCTCCCTCTCTGCCTCCCATCTCCCTCTCCCTCTCTCCCCTCTAGATCTCGGTGATTATGTGAGTTCGTGTCACTGTTTGTCCCTCCTCCGCCGCTCGCCATCCTTGCTAACCGGTGTATCATCTTCTCTGGGTGGTGCTCATTTTCTTTGGCACCGGGCTCCGGTTGCGCAGGTAAAATCCTAACCCTAACCCTAACCCTAACCCTCCTCTTCTTCCATTGATCTATTCTGATCTGATCTTTTCATCCTCCTCAATCTCTTTGAGCAGGTCGGTAGCGATGTGTCGTCCTCTAGCTGTGGCATAGAGCGACCAAGGCAGCCCCGCGCACCGTTGAGGAATGGTGCTGGAGAGCTGTCCACCATGGCGGCTGCTGATGACGATATCGTTTGGCCACTCACCGGCAAGCCTGGCCCCTGCGGACGACGATGACACCGGAGAGGACAATGCTGCGTTGTTCGGTATCGATGTCGGTAGCGGCTCTGCTACTCCGACTCTGATCGATCTAGACGACGAAGGTGGTGAAGGGGCGACGGCGACTGGGAACCCGCTAGGCTCTAACTCCAATAGCTCTGCTCCATTTGTTGCTGGTAACTCTAATGTTGGTAAGCGTAAATCATCTGTGTGGGCTGATTTTGATGAGATATATGAGACTGTGAATAGTAGAAAGATTTGCACTAAAGCTACCTATAAAATGTGTAAGCAAACCTTGTCTTCTAGATCTAATGCTGGCATTGGCCACTTGAAGAGGCACCAGAAATCTTGGAGGCAGAAAACTGATCAACGTGCTAGAGTTCAATCTAGGCTTGCTTACAATCCGGATGGTTCTGTGCATAACTGGGACTATAAACCTGATGTTGCTAGATCTGAGTTGTGTCGCTTGATTGCTATGCTTGATCTGCCGTTAGGTATTGGTGAGACAGAGGCCTGAAAAGAGTACATTGTTCGTGCTCATAACCATAGGTTTGTTAAGGTATCTAGATAGACCACCACTAAAGATCTTAGCAAGCTGTTTACTTAACGTCGTAATATTATTAAGAACTATGTGTTGTCTGTTGCTTCCTTTATTGCTCTGACATCAGACATTTGGTCTGGTAATGCTAAAAAGGACTACATTAGTGTTGTGGCTCATTATGTGAGTGTTTATTGGGAGTTACAGAAAAAGGTAATTGGTCTTCGGTTGATTGAGGTGAAACATGCTGGTGAAAATATTGCTGAAAGAGTTGCTTGTGTGGTTCAGGAGTTTGGTTTGATTGATAAGGTTTTTTCTGTAACTCTAGACAATGATTCTTCTAATGCTAAGGCTATGGAAAATTTGACACCTATGTTTGTTGGTTATTTGGGTTCTGATCTGCACCTGATCCTTCAGATCCTAATAAGTGTAAGTATAGTCTTGTGTATCAACGTTGTGCTTATCATATCATTAATCTGATTGTAAAATCTGGTTTAAAGAGGTTCAAACCTTACACAGAGGATTTTAGAACTGCTATTAACTTCTTAAATTCTTTTAATCAAAGAATTGCTATGTTCAAGAACTACTGTGTAACACCCTCGATTACCCCGTTAATCATCTACTAAAACATGTCATGAGCATCATACTTGTGTGTTAATGCATATGGTGAAGTGTGTAGATCAATTTCTGTAACTCAAAATGATCAATAAAAATGCTAAACGAAAGTTGGTTCGATGGTTTATGCATATCAAGTAGGGTTTAAAACCAATTTTTATTAAGCCAAAATACTATAAAACATGTGTGTGATACTTAAATAAAGTTGAAAGTACAAACTTTATAGATGACAATGAAATATTTACTATTGAAAAAGAATATTGCTAAATAATATTTTCAGTAGCTTAGAAATTCAATATGAAATTAAGATTAACTCACGCTTAGAAAATTTCTAAGTCTGTGGACAGCTAGACGCTGTTATGTTTAGCAATTTATTTGGAGAGATTTGGTTAAGGAGTGGTGTAGTGCTATGATTCGATTTAGTAGTTCCATATACCATCTTGAGTGTAGTGAAGCCGATTTAGGTTTAGGAGCAACGGTTTGGTCATGATTAGTGCTTTAAAATCCGTGCACATCACAACTTTGTGTTGTCTGGCGCCGTGCGTGTGGTCACCACACGTGGCCGACCCATGTCGCCGCGCGGGCCCATGCACCGGCTGGCCGTGGCCGCCATGGCCTTGCCACGGCTTGGCCGCTTTGGCCGCACTGCTAGGCCGCTGGTCCGCTCTACGCCCGACCGCCCCTTCCACCGTGGTTGCCGCTGGTGCTGCTGCTGCCTCCACGCCCGCACCACGACGCCGCCGCTGCCGCCACCGTCGTATCACCATGCTACGCGCCTACAGCTGCGCTGCGCCGCTGGCCCGCCTTGACGCTGCACGCACATAGCCGTGTCACCGTCGCCTTGCCATTGATGGCACTACGACGCACGTGCCACGCCGGTCATGAGCGTGCGTGTCTATCGGCTAGTGCCTGGCCACGGGTTGTGCCGGTCGCACCAACCGCGTCCCGCCAAGGCATGCCCTTGCCAAGTCGCTGGCTGCCCCTCCCCCACCTCTCCCTCTCTCTCTCTCTCTGTTCTTGTCTCCCTACCGCCGTCGAATTGCACCAGTGCCACAGCTGCGAGGGGTCACCTCTCATCAATCCCTCTTGTCCGTGCCTCCGCCCTCACGTCCCCTCTCCAGCCTCCCCCACCCCGCTTTGATTGCAGCTCAGCCGAGCCTCAATTTTGGAGCTTCGCCCCGCCATCGCACCGTTAAGACCCGTCATCGCCCGCGCCATGGCCAGCCTCCACCACTTTACCCTACACAAATTCCTCTACACCACTAGCTCACCTTGGCTCCCTCTCCACTGTGTGCATGCCAGCGGGAGCGCTACCGCCTCCCCGCTGCCGCTGACGTGGCCGTGTCCACTGCGGCTCGTCGCCGTACTCATCGCACGCACGCTGCCAGCCCTGCTCAGGTAGTCACCGGTCGAACCACCACTTCGCCCGGGTTCGCGGTATGCCCTTGGTGCTTATCCCCTATCTCTACCATCCTGTTAGCGCTGTAGCTTGCTGGGATGACCGTGGCGCCGTCGTGGGTGACTGCGCGCGGTGGCAGCTTGCTCTAGTGCGCCTTGTTGCTCCGTATCGCCGCTTAGGGTAGGCGTTAGGGTCATAGATGGGGTTCGGCCCGTTAGTTGGGTCAGTGCGAGCCTCGAGTGGCTGGCATACCTCCTAGTGCCACCGTCCGCCGCGCCGGTGAGCGTGGGGCATCTCGGGGACCTCTCCGGTGTAACACCCCAGGTGTTTATCGCTAGTTAAGCAATGGGTTTAAGCTCAACCATGACATGTTCAGTGGTGACGGAGATGTCAAGGTCAAACCTATGGAAATGAGCCACAACCTAAACTCGGATGTTGCACCCTTGCTTTACATATAGGCCCTTTTAAAGATATATGCCTGGCTGGGGTTATTGGAATATCTTCATGTGTCTCACATCAATATCCCTCTATATTGATCACTGGAAAAGTTTCATGAAGTTTGGAATCAAAAAGTCACATGAAATGATAAGTCATATATTTGCATGAATTGCTTTATCAAGTGGATGGAAACCTATGAAGTCAACCAAACCTTGAAACCTTGCCCAAACGACTCTAGATGAACTCTACAACAAAAGTCATGAAAGGTTCATGTTGGGCAAATGTCAAGAAAATGCATCAATCGGTCTAAAACTCAT